GTTGGTATCAGACCGACCTTTGTTGGGAACTGTGGTTAACGTTAAAAAATCTGTGCCCCATGCCCATGGACTTCAGAGCTCAACAGTGGATGCGTAACGGAGGCTGTGGGGTTCTAGGATGATAGCCGCAGGGACTGTACAGAAGATTGTAGAGGGTTTAAGCAGTTGGTGTCAGAACGACCTTTGTTGGGAACTGTGGTTAACGTTAAAAAATCTGGGCCCCATGCCCATGGACTTCAGAGCTCAACAGTGGATGCGTAACCGAGGCTGTGGGGTTCTAGGATGATAGCCGCAGGGACTGTACAGAAGATTGTAGAGGGTTTAAGCAGTTAGTATCAGACCGACCTTTGTTGGGAACTGTGGTTAACGTTAAAAAATCTGGGCCCCATGCCCATGGACTTCAGAGCTCAACAGTGGATGCATAACGGAGGCTGTGGGGTCCTGGGATAATAGCTGCAGGGACTGTACAGAAGATTGTAGAAGGTTTAAGCAGTTGGTATCAGACCGACCTTTGTTGGGAACTGTGGTTAACGTTAAAAAATCTGGGCCCCATGCCCATGGACTTCAGAGCTCAACAGTGGATGCGTAACGGAGGCTGTGGGGTTCTAGGATGATAGCCGCAGGGACTGTACAGATGATTGTAGAGGGTTTAAGCAGTTGGTATCAGACCGACCTTTGTTGGGAACTGTGGTTAACGTTAAAAAATCTGGGCCCCAAGCCCATGGACTTCAGAGCTCAACAGTGGATGCATAACGGAGGCTGTGGGGTCCTGGGATAATAGCTGCAGGGACTGTACAGAAGATTGTAGAGGGTTTAAGCAGTTGGTATCAGACCGACCTTTTTTGGGAACTGAGGTTAACGTTAAACAATCTGGGCCCCATGCCCATTGACTTCCAAGCTCAACAGTGGATGGGTAACGGAGGCTGTGGGGTTCTAGGATGATAGCTGCAGGGACTGTACAGAAGATTTTAGAAGGTTTAAGCAGTTGGTATCAGACCGACCTTTGTTGGGAACTGAGGTTAACGTTAAACAATCTGGGCCCCATGCCCATGGACTTCAGAGCTCAACAGTAGACGGGTAACCTTAGAATGATGCCTAATCCATATTTTCCAAGAGTTTGTGGAGGTGACAATATAAGAGGATTTTACCTTCATTGACTTCTAAGCTCAACAGTGGATGCGTAACGGAGGCCGTGGGGTTCTAGGATGATAGCTGCAGGGTCTGTACAGAAGATTGTAGAAGGTTTAAGCAGTTGGTATCAGACCGACCTTTGTTGGGAACTGTGGTTAAAGTTAAAAAATCTGGGCCCCATGCCCATTGACTTCAGAGCTCAACAGTGGATGGGTAACGGAGGCTGTGGGGTCCTAGGATGATGCCTTATCTTTATTTTCCAAGATAAGAAAATGCGCGTGATGCTTGACCAGCTGTTTACTCTACAGTCTAGACGCAACTTCCGCATTCTCAACACGGGTCCGCTTGTCGAGTTCGATGTTTTTATCGGCCGTATATGTGTGCGCACTATGTGTTTATTCGTCGTGTGTTTGTGTGAATGTAAAAAAACTGTTACTGACGACCTTCATATGAAGTAATTTCATCCTTGAACTCACCTGATGATGACCTCCTAGCAGGTTGAAACTAGTTGTGAAGACAACAATCGGATTGCAAGAATAAGGTATTTAAACCACTATCATAGTTATTATTCGCAATCCGGAGGCTACTCACACCACAATGATTTTCCAAGAGTTTGTCGAGGTGTTGGCGGCCTCTTTTAACCTTGCATTTGCCCGTCCACATAGACTACAGATCTGTGCGTGGAACGTATCCAGCAAAGCAAGGGGTGAGCCGGTACAGTACAAAGATGAACTGTACTGATAAAAGTTTGTGGCAGTGACCAGGATCCGAACCCACAACACTTCTGCCTTGGGCCCAAAGTCCGTGACGCTACCAACTGAGCCACCGACTCACCATTAAGAATAATCATTTCATTTATTAAGAATAATGCCATTTGTACAAAGTAATGACTGTTTTATGACTTGAAAAGCAATATTTGAGTTTCACTGAAAACAAGTAGCCTAGGCCTATTTATTACTTTTTCAAAGTTGGATCTTATTTTTATACTTTACCCTACTGAACTATGATAAATGTTGTCACATGTATATGGAATATAAGTTTATTTCTGAACAAGAAAATATATAAAATAAAGGTTCCAGAAGTATTTGTAGCGTGAGACACACCTAAGTTAGGCCTGCAGATTTTTCAACCTAAATTTGAAACTAGGCCTAGCTACATGTTGAGCAACATGAGCAGAGGTTACTTTAACACTTTATGCGACGCCGCGGTCATTGCCACAGACCCAGGTATCAATTTGAATCTTACACATAGACCGGCTGTCACTTGGATAACAGTACACACAGACCACGGGCGAAAACCTGTAAAACAGTGATCATGTACATTGTAATACGCTACAATCGTGTTTGTAAATAATATATTCTTGTTTTTTTGTATTATTAATAACCTTTTGTAATGTCACATATTTGCGATGCATATATGCGACGGCAGTCTATGGGTGGAACCCGGCCGACGCATATGTGCGTCGCTGGTCCACGTGAATGAAAAATTTCGTACTATTGCAGTAGCGAACGTGTTAAACTGTTTTATGTGTCCAAACCATAATGATAACCCTATCTAATGCATACTCTTTTTGTTCAGAAAAATAAGATGATTTAGAAAAATATCAAATGAAAGGGACCCCCAAATTAGTAGCCTAATCCTTTGCAAAAGGCTACCATTGTAGATTAGGCCTAACCGTGTAAACAATCACTATTTCAATACCATAACACAAAATTTGCACATAAATAATAGGCCTATCCGTCGTGATATGGATAAATAGCAGGCCTACTAGTAACTCACACAACACATGACTAAATTAGGCCTACGGTATACACTTTGTTTGAACTAAAACACTAACCTTTGATAATAAATTAACAGATAATAATGTTGGCCGCACTAATAACTGTACTTCAATGGTGGCGAGCAGAACATAAATGTCGAAACAACGCTTGTTTTTTCCAGTTACAAAAAATGCCACCTGAATCTCATAAATGAACTTCACCATTACATGAGGAAGAATGTACAGTATTCTTAGCTTCAAATAACTTAGGTATGACTCTCATTACTCTAGGAATGTCAATTATCGACATATTTATTCGTGATTTAGAAACTAGGCTACCATTTAAACAGCGCTTTGGGCAAAATTGCCAATTGACAAAACAGCTGATTTCAAAAAAATATTTTTCAGACTTCCTACATCGTATGACACAGTTCTCTATACAAAAATAAAGAACAAATCAAGCTCATTCCAATGGTATACCAACCACTTCCTGTTTAGGCCAAAACTAAGTTAAGACTTTTAGATTTTTTTCAAGATAACGTGTTTCACGAGATTTCGCCGAATGACTCGAAAATGTTACACACGCTAAATATTGTTCTTATTATAAATAGCAGTTATTATAACTTTTTGATCTGTTAGTGCTACGAGGTTCGTTTGGACATTAAATTAACCCTCTGTTGCACATCGGTTTTCCAACGCATTTAGCAAGCGCTCACTCAAATGCTTACCGTTTGCATAATTTTAATAATTTCGGGATGATTTTTCACTATTTTAAAGTAGAAATCATAAGCTTTCTTATAGTACCACTTCGTATGTTGGCGAATGTTTTTATTATTTAGGTAGCAGTGGATTTGCTATGTATTCAGCTGTCAGACCGGCAATGTAGGTTAGTAAGGTTATCTTAGTTCTGTGTTGTTGCCTGTGATCAACGTACCGGTATCGTAAGATTTTTGTACATATAGCCTAACCGGAACTTAGTGTTAATATTTTTAGAATTAGACCATAAAACATTGTATGTTTTTATTTTATTTTCTAAAGTTTGGCTATATATTAGACACTTTTTCTTTGTGAAGTGGGTTGAAGTGGTGACAAATGAAAATCATTTAGGCCTATACACAACTTAGGATTTCTATGCTGAAATATTTTTAGTAGGCCTACCAGGTTAGTGTTATTATAATTATAAATTTATAAGTTATGCCTCCTAAATTTGGTAAACAAAATGATATACAATAGGCCTAGGCCTTTTTAGTTCATATTTATTCCTAATAGGCCTAAGTTAATAGGTTTTAAAAATTGTAAGTAAATGAACCCTGCAAAATTTCTGAAATTCGTGTGATATTTAACTTAAGGAGCTTTTCTATGACCCAGAGAGAGGGTTAAAAGTTGAGAATCTACTTTTTCAAACGGTATCAAAATTATTAAGTTTTTACTCTTCTGGATGATTTTCATTGCGCAAGTTGAATATTAACTTAAGCGTTTGAAAAAAATGTCCCAACCACACACAAGAAACCACTGTGTGTACAGGGGAAGGCAGTCCTAGGGTTATGTCCGGTCGGTTGTGATTCTCAAGGTCACATTCCTGGTTTGCCCTATGAAACACAGGGGTCAGCCTAAGTAAACACAAGATTTTAACCAAAAATTTATAGGCTTAGGCCTTGATTGTTTTTCCAGAGCCTAGGCCTAGTCTAAATTACTCTAAGGCTAAGCTAGGCCTATCTCTTGAAGTTAACTGTTGATTTAAGTTAAATGTAAAATGACATATGTAATGGGGTGGGGGGGGGGGGGGGGGTAGACCTAATACCGGTAACTTCACAGCATGTCCTAGTCTTAGTCCTAGGCTAGTTGAAGCAAACAAAATTACCACCTTCAGGACTGAAGCTTTTAACATTGTCCTTTCATAAGCTTACTTAGGCTACTGATATCAGATGGAGTACGCTAAGTTTGTTATATTAGATGAATTACAAGACATTCTCATTTACGATGAGTGAAACTTATTGTAACCTCTAGTCCACTCCCCGGCCACAATTTATGGATGTGCGATCCTAAACATTCCGAACAAGTTAAGCTAAAGAGAGCATTAACTTACAGATAGTTGACTAGGCCTACTCACCCTATTCAGGTTACTTCGAACTTCGATGTATCAAGTTCTAATCGGTTCCCACAAATTTTAGTCGCATTATTACTTAATTTTACGAACTGGGCTGGTAAGTGGTAAGATTATTAGAATCAATCAAAATGACGAAAACATTCCTTCGCTGATCACTACACAGTACACACACTAGGTAGGTAGGTAGGCTGAGGCTCACAGTTTTTTCGTTGTCGTTGTCGTTCTCGTTCCGTTCCGTTGTTCCGTTACAACTTCACTTCACTTTAATTTCACTATACTACACAAGTCAAGTTCGTAATTACAGCGACCAGTCAACCAAAATAGCAGGAGGAGGAGAGATGGGAATTCGATGCATCAAGTTCTAATCTGTTTTTTAAACTTTAGTCGCACTATTACTTAATTTCACTGACAGCACTCGTAAAATAAGAATCAAAATTTCTAAAATAATCCTATGCGTTTTTTTTTTCTGTTACAACTAACTTCACTAGTCCACTGACAGCCGTAGTCAACTTCGTTATAATGGGAATGGGGGATATCCAACAAGGGTTGGCCAAATTAGTAACATTTAGCTGTCTAGACATACGGTAGTTTTCGTCACAAACTATCGATATGTTTATATACGTTGGGTGTACAATTCAGTTGTCCTGATGCAATATTGATCAGAGCAAGCAATCCAATACTTTTCTAAAGTCAATGCTTCATGTGTTTCACGCAAATGATATATCTACTTGCAGTCAATGGCCAATGGTACATTTGCTTCAAGTCAACGGGATGTCCACTTGCACTTGCAGTGCAGTACCTAAAGTAAATGGTAGTCAATCCGGTTCACTTCAAAGGGATGTCTATTTGTAGTATTATGTACCATGACCATGAGCACCAGTGTACTTACAGTCAATAGTGCATTAGCAGGAAGTTATTCAACATTTAACGGTATTGTACAGTTAATTGGTCCCCCCTTTTGTTCTGTATTTGTAATGTGCTATTTTACATGATTTATTGAAGAACTGATGCTACGACTCTTTTGATTACCTTTTAGCAACTTTGCATAACATAGGGAATAAGCTAAATTACCGTAGGGCTCATGGTAAGACCTGGACCAGGGACCGATTTACTTTTCCATTTTGAGGTGCGGAAGGGGCCAAAATCACCAACCATTCAAATTCATACATAACTTACTGCATATTTGTATATGTGTCTGTTTCCACGTTAAATTAAGCAAAAATTGAATTGTACAGCTAAATAAATAACAAAACAATTACATTAAGTCAGAAAAAAGTAAAACTCATCTTAGGCTACACTTACAAAATATAATCAACCTGCCATCTATTTACCAGAGTGATCAAATTCTGTAAAAGTGTAAGCCTACATTTATTGAACGAGTTCACGAACTGGCACACATTTGGGAACTGGGGTGTTATGGGGGGAGGGGGGCTATTGACCCTAAAATGTAAAAAATAATACAATTTCTTTTTAAACCACTTTGTAGAGCAAGAGCACTTCACTTAGCTGTTTGATTAGACCTAGCTTAGCTTTCTTTACTTATTTGTTGTTGGAATGTTTTAAAAAAGAAGTTCTGAATTTCTTGTGGTAAATTACATTAGTTGTATTAATATGATGCGTCTGGTAGAAAATGAGAAAAAGGATCGAAAGGACTTTGGTTTCTGCTGTAAAAAATGTGGTAAACACACTGCTGCTGTGGACGGTTAAAAGCACAACTTAAAGGTTTTTAGCCAGCCATCAAGTTGCCTCCACTTTTGCCTGTCTGCTGCTTGGTCAATTGATATCCCCATCTTCTCCTGAAAGTCTTTTCGGATCTGGTCACCCCCCCCCCTCACATCGTAGTTTGGATTGGGAATTTCTAGAGGTTGGGTCTCTCTGGTTGTCCATTGGTAGATAAATCTATCTAGGAGACTGTTTATTTCTCTTCTATAGAACTTTGATATTGACTATCTTTAGATAACAAGTTTGAAAGTTAAATTGATTATTTTGTGATTTTAAGTCTAGACAGCTTCCTAAATAGGCTCTGTTTCTTCTGATCTCTCACAGTGTCATGTGTTTAGGTGAGTCGGTAGCGTCATTCGGGCCCAAAGCAGCTATGTCGTGGGTTCGGATCATGGCATTTACTATTGGTTACAGAAGAAGACATCCCATCTATATGGATCAGCTGTCGTCAATCTTTTACTAAAAAAGAAAGTAATTGTGTGAGCCAGTCACAGATTGCGCTAGTGTCTAAAACTCTATTTTGTACCTTATTTTTTGTTACTGACATAGTTGCTGGGTCACAACAGTTGCTATAGCTCATAATCAGTCATTCCATCAGTTTGTCTTGGTTTACCCATCTGTAATCGGCAGAAATCAGTAATTTAGATCAGCGCAATCTGCAGGTGGCTCACATCAACTAAGACAAATTTGATTAAAAACCTGGCTACAACTATAACATGGAGATGGAATGTCTACTTTTACATGACATCCCGACTTGGACGCTGTAGGGCTGGTGACACATTTGGTTCACTACAAAAACGCCATATACACTCTTCTTTCCACTGCAATTGGAGATGATGTTGAGTTTCTCTCTAAAGGTCTACTTCCTCGCCAAGTGTAGCACACATTGTCCCAACGTTGGGAAATGGTCGGCACGGTTTGAAAATGGTGGGTGGAAATTTTAACGCCTTGCCAAAGTTGGCCCAACGGGATCTTGTATTCGTTGGCCCAACAAAGGAGAGAATTGTTGGATTTAAGTATAGAACATTCTAAAACACATTTTAAAACAAATTGATTTATTTAATAAGAAAATAAAATGCTATGTCAGCAGAATATAAGACGATTTTGGAGAAATTTTGATCTATAATAAATATAGTCAGATGAAATTGTGATAGTTGTGATGCTATAGTATTAGCAAAACGGGAGTGCCGATGGAGACCAGGTCAAGTCCCTTCAAACGCACGCACCCCCACAGGTCTCCATCGGCACTCCCGTTTTGCTAACACTGTAGATACACTAGTAGAAAACCTACTCAACATATAATAATGCAAATATTTTTTTTAAATTAATATTCTTTAACTTATTTGATAAAATTTTTTATAGTTGAACAGTTTAAGCGAAAAGACTAATTAATTATTACAATTTATAATCTATATTCAAATAACAGTATCCTCTCCAATTCCTAGAAAAACAATTCAACTACTTGATAAACCGAATCATAGAATCAAAAATATATATAAAGTATTGCGGCCATTGCAATTGTCGGCTCCTCTTTAATCACTCGAAAACACATATTATCTACAATCACAGATAGCTCAGAGGCAAGGTAAGAGTCTCATAAATCGAAGTAATCAAGTTCGTGACCCAGCTGGGCAAGACATTTTTATTCTAATTTTATCCAAAATTTGTTTTTATGAACATTTAATCAATATAGGCCCTACTCAACTCAAGGCCGTGTTAAGGGTCAGTGGAGCCCTGGGCCAAGAGCAGCGCCCCCCTTTTTTCCTAGTGCTGGCGGGCAGTGGTTATATAAAGTCTGCCCGTTTATAAAAGATAACTCATTTGATAAATCTACTTTTCATTCAAAATCTGTATTATTTTGTGTTTTTATATTTTGGCCCCAATGGTTTGTTCTATGTTAAAAACTGGTTGGTTGACCAACCGTAAGACTTAGTGCCAAAACACTGTTGGCCAACCATACACAGAAATGGGAGGGCCAACAATTTGCCAACAGTTTTTGCTACTTGGGCTCCAACAGTAGAAGGGAGAGGGTAGGGATTTTTTGTATGGGGTGAACCATACATGCTACCAGTTACTTACAATAGCGTCCGAAGCCAAGTCGGGAGGCCGTGTTCTTGTAGAAGCTACTAAAATAATTTGTGGTTAGGAAAGAATTTGCTAAATGTTTTTTTGTACCGGTATGTAAAAATAGAAAAGGCCTACCACACATAAAATCACGTTCCCATAGTCTGATCATGACGTTTAGGCGTTTGTACGAAATTTCATTCATACTTTACTTTAGTTGTTGTGGACACACACACATGTTGGTGGTTACGCAACTGGGACCTCATAACAAAACCTCGATCGAAACGATCCCAGGTAGTTTTTAAACAAATACAGCTATCTCGTGCTGCAAATTAAGCACATCATCTGGTCAGAATGTCAGCTATGGCGCTTAAAAATTTGGCATGATTGAGTTTGTCAGAAGTATAAAACAATACAAAAAAAAAAAAAAAAAAAAAATGGAAATTGAGATGAAACACATACAAAACAAACATTTAAAAACTGGTCAACCAGATTGGTCTGTTGTCCAAGAATGCGTCTGTTGCGTCTAGCGCTGAGAAATAGACAGTGGCGATGGACGCTCAGTGACTACTAAGCTTGATTTCAATGGTCCAAGAAGCGTCTGACGCTTGAGACGCTGAACGTTTGACATGGGGCACTGCTTTGGGAGCAGACAGGATCGCTATAATGGTCAGCGATTATTGCAGTGTTGTGTTTGTGTTCTCCTGTGCTTTCAAGGTTATTTTCACTGTTTGGAGAAAACTACATACGAGGCTTTAATTTAAATTAATTTTTTTTTTAAAACAAACTTAAACATATGTTTTTTTTTTTAATTAGAATTATTTAGGTTCACACCTTTAAATATATAAAAAAAATCCATACAGTACCTTAGTGTAATACCTAACTTTACTTCTTTTGTTATTGGACATGGAGTGCGATTGCATGGATGTTTTGAAATATCCTCTTGTAGCAAGTCGCAAACGAACTGAAACTGTTTTTTCTAAGTCTAGAAAATTCACTTAACAGCCTATCGTCCGCGTTCAAGAGGTTTGGATAAGTATTTAAAAATATCCTTTCCTCACTTCTCTTGGTAAAACACTATGCGTACACAATAGAGGTTCAATAACTAGGACCAGAATTTCCTCATCTTCCATCTATATGCCACAGAATTTCCAACACTTGCTCTTCCCATTCATAATGAGATCACTAAACACAGTCAGCAACCAACTGTTGATCTGAATAGACGTGTTTGGAACAACAGGACTTGAAGTGATCGACACCCAGAGATCATCGCTCTGCGACGAAGGCAACGGATGCGCCTTGGACAACGCACTATTACTACACGTGGTACGAAGCAAGTGGAAGTTAATTGCTGACCTGCTGACCTAAATTTGTATTGTGGGCAAATCTGAAGGCATAATGTTGAGTAAAATTCAATCTTCACCATGTATACTGTTTTTATTTTGTTACATTACCCCCTCCCTCCAAAGGCCTGCTGGAGCTCTCATAGCCCTCTCCTAGGGGTACTGTTATTTCCTATTTCCCTAAGGGTAAATAGTTGTCTAGATCCACCTTTTTTAAAATCAATTTAACACCATATGGCAACTAATAATTTTTAAACATTATCAGTTTTTTTTTTTATTATTGGAAAATAAAGATTTCCTTACATCTTCATTTTTTAACACCACCCATGCTTCCATCTGCATATTTTATAACTTCACTCTTTCTCCGCTGCCATCACATGACTAGCTGATACCATCTTCCATTTTCGATTTCAAGAAGTATTTTGAGAAATTTGATGGCTTTATGTCTGGGGTACTGTACAAACCTTATTCCCTCTGTTCAAGCGGTTTATATCTACAAATGATCTACGTGTGTTGCAGTTTCATCTTGACATAGTGAACAGAAAGCAGCGACCATGTCTAGTTAGAGGTACCGTAATGGACTAGATAACATTCAACCTTATTTCTTACCTCTTCGAATATATTTTCAGATCTACTTGATTATTGATTATATAAAAAAATATATATTTAATGAATATTGCAATGTTCTATCAAAAATATTATCAACTAATTTGGTATAAAAGGAGAAATAAATAAACACAAGTGATGCAAGCAATTCAATTTATCATTCTCTTCACTCTCGGAATACTTAGGGAAATGAAACTCTCAGTAAAGAAGGTAAACTTTATAATCAAGTACGCTGGTAGGAGAATAATTAAAGTACAATAGGTACATGTCGCTGAACACAGCGAAAATCGGAAATACACGATTAAATATGATAAATAAACTACAATCTCTAACTTTAATGTGCCGGATACTAACACCCTCTTGTGCTAAACTGAAGAAGGAAGACTTTAAAATGTGAAAATTGGCACGAAACGAACTTCTACGAAGCAAAACTACCGTAAAACCGTGCCGAGAAATAATATCTCACAGATCAGCTTGGCTTGAGCTCGGGTACGCGACCGACCACTGCCAACCGGGAAAGTCTTCCCTTAACTTTCCCGGTTGAGCCCCACCCCTGCACTCGAGAGACCGACCCTGGAACTGACAGGTCACTCGAGCGCCACCCTGCGTCTGCGCTCTACGCCCTACGCCCTACGGCTACGTTCTCCTACGGTAAAGTGGTAATTTAAAAGTGCTCAATCCACTAAGCTTTACAGAGGCACTAAATAAATTTACAGTTTGTTAAAAATACGTAAAAAATTATTCTCGACAATAGACTTTCCCTAAGCGAATTTTGATCTAAAGATGAGCTCGCCTTTCTAGTCTACTGGACAGAATAAATCTTTGTATACGTTACTGAATAAAGAAAGCTAATCTAGGACCACTAAGTCTAGAGTACGTGTCGATTGATAAGTGAGATTGTAAAATTGCTTAAAGTTTAGCAGCGTAGAAAAGGCTATAAGAGTGATGGAATGTCCAATGGTCACTATAGAGTAATGTAGTCTGGTCCCTGTACTTTGACTGTCCAATTTACTGGGCCAGGTACACCTAGGCCACCCCTGAAACAGGAAACAGAAGAGATCAGAGACACGGATAAGGCAATGGTCAGAGATGATGGATCAGGCAATGGTCAGAGATGATGGATCAGGCAATGGTCAGATCAGGCAATGATGCGATGGCGAGTCATCAGTCAGCCAGGCTATGTAGCTTGCGGCATGTAGCCTTGTGGCATTAGCATGAAGCACAGTGCTTGGTTATCAAGAACATACACTAGAATCACATTTTTTATATAGATTCCTGAAAGGCTGTTAGTAAACTCGAGGTAACAACGGTTACCCTATCAACATTTAAATGAATAAAATAATTATAAAGACAACTGTTTGACTACTGAATATACCTGATAATGTTATAATCCCAAGATATTGATATGCAGTTGTTTTGTTAGCCTTGTACATAAATGTTTCAGATTGTAAAATACACAATATTGAAAAACTGCTGAGGGCATGAACATTGAACATGTCTTGCGTTTAGAAGCACAGTGTTATTAGAAATTTCCTGAAATAGACATAAGTTACCTTACCCAAAATATTACCAGTCCAACCAACTCAATGCTGTATCCTCTGTATTCCTGTGGTGAAGAAAAGTTATAAAAGGAACACAAATGAAAGCAAGCAAGATTCAGAGTTAAATAGAATGGAAAATACCATAGAAGTACATTACAAAACAAAAAATAAAAATAAAATGTTGTTACTACTTGCTAAGCTGGTGCTAAAATGCTCAAGTGAAAAGAAAATAGAAGATTGATAGATAAAATAGATTAGAAAAAGTATTTACAGTAAAAGAAAGCGCAGTAAACACTAAAGCGATGGCGACCTGACAATAAATTATGCAAGCAACTTCTCAGGCTGAAAAATGTGGGAAAATTTGCATCTGTCCTGTAACCAGGGCTCAAAGGGTGAAGTTGTATGTACAAAAGAAATCATCCACAAACATGTTAGTTTCTGTGACTTTATACCAGTTTGAGATATTTAAAATCATGTTGTACGTGTTTTCTTGGATTTAAAAGTGGATTTTAAGATGTGTTTATGGATTTTCACGTGATTGGAGTACAAAATAAGCTCGATACATACTGGGTTTAAAAAATTTATTTTATAGATGAAAACTTGCATACTAAAAAATGAATATCAGTCAGAAAGAGTAATAAATATTTGTTACAAAAGGGTGATAGCAATTTAAAGGTTTTAGAATGCAACTTACATTTTATCAGGTTCATTAATTAGTGATATGAAAGTAACATATTTTGTATGAAAAGAATGGTACCAAAATAATATTAATTTCAAGTTTAAGGAAAAAAAATATGCATTTGATTTAAAATTGTCAAATAATCCGATAAAATTTAGATAAAACCTTAAAATATTTGTGTAAGGAAAGAGTTTTTTAACCACATATAGTAAAACAATATAAATTGTTGCCTATTTAAAATTAAATACAGAGTGTGTCATTAAAAAGTCATTGTTTATGCAAATAATCTCTTCTTTTTTACTTGGTGCCTTCTAGTTTTTAAAATTACAAGCCTATTATTTTAAAATAAACAAAAATTGAAATTCTTTGATTTTCTGTAGATTATTTAAAACAATATTGACAGAAAATAATTAAAGGATATATAATGAGGATGATTTAACATGAAATTAATAATTCTAATACTTAATCTAATTGATTTAGAACTGGAGTATATTAAAACATGTTTAGTCAGGATTTATAATATTTGAAATATTTCAGATATAAGATTTCTTAAGTACTACTTTGCTGTTTTTAATATAAGTTAAACCCACTTCAATATGAGAGTACACCTAGATTAAATTTATAGAAGCAGCCTTTATATTAGGAAAGCCTACATTCTTTACAAAAATAATTATAAATATTCAAAATGGTTTAGATCAAATTTATTTTTATTAATTGAAGATTTAGTAAAGTTATTTTAGACTGGGACAGTTGAATTCCAGCAAAACACCAAGATGACAAATGACTGCCAACCAAGCCAAAGTTTTTTTGAAAATGTATGATAAGCTGCTAAGTTGGCACCATTACCTCATGAGAGTAAATTATGCGCTAGGATCATTGTGAGTTACATTGTTGGCGGCCCTGGTGGGGGACGTCAGGCGAGGAGAGCCACCGCTGCTACCACGGGAACCGCATCGTGATACCCTGGAACCTGGAGAGGCAAGGAACCATCTTCCAGCACACAGACAGAGTTAGACATCACACCACGCAGCGCGCCACTACGCCTCTACGCCTCTACGTCACTCTAATTATCCACACACTGTGTATGTTGGTGTCAAGTGTGTGAACCTTTAGGTACTCCAAACGAGGGCTGTCCGTAAATTAAGGTCTCATGTAGCTGCCTAATTCAAATCTTAAACCCACACAGTGTTCTTTACTTTATCCACTAAAATTATGGCCAATTCCCACCTCCATGTGACAATGAGTCACGCCAAATCAATATTTCAGTGAGGGACAATGATTGCTCCAAATTGTGTTGGTAAAAGTATAAATGATCATAGGTTCCAGTGGAAGGAGGGCAACCCCTATTATAACCCTTAGCCAGTTGACAGATGCGTATGCAGAAAAGTGTTTAGAGGTAGAAAATGCTTAAGTGGTTTAGGGATTTGGCAAAAGGCTGCATTTGTTCAACAAGTCTATCAGCACAGTTTCCAACAGTTCCCATCGATATAGTTATTGAAGATGAGGACACTTTGCTTGCTGATCCTTAGTAGTCCTAGAGGCCTCTTCTATCATTATTACAATCTGTCGTTCACTCACACCCCTATCCACATTACAGAATTTCCTCAAATTTCGTCACAGCCTCAAACGAGGATGATAAACTATTGAAACCGGCATGCACCGTTCAAAACATTGTGCAAAAAAAGAGTCCCTTTAATAAATGAGGCGCAAGTAAGAAGGAAATTCCCCTCAAGGAAGAGGGGTGGGGGCACAATTATTTCTTGGGCCCTTAACACGGGATGTGATTTATGCGCATCACACGCAAACCACAGGCCTCTGACCACCTCTCAACTTCCTCCATACATTTCGCACATTTCCTACATCCAAATACTTTACTTCATTCATCATTCTTTAGTTCATTCGTCAACTGGCTACCCATGGACTTTAATAGCGTCAAGCGTGGGATCATACAAATCTAATCACCAAATGAAATTCATACTTGGTGGTAACGTCGATTTTCCTTCTCTTAGTTTTGGTTACTATAATACTATTTGTAACCTCAGGGTGGGAACTGTCTAGAATTGAAGTAAATAAATCAATGTTTGTCTTTGATCTCAGATTTGAACTAGCCTGCTTGGCTGGACGAGAGCTCGGTGGAGACCTTAATTTACGGTTAACCTCTGTATAACTTTTCAAGTTGATGCACATCAAATACATGTCTAGTATAATCTCTAACATTCCCCAAATATTAATCTTGTTCAGTATAAAGTTCTAAGTCATTGGGTTAAACAGAGGTTTTTCAATAATTTATTTAGTAGTCAAAAACACTTTCTGGGTAAATAGTTAAATTTCTTTAGACAGATTAGCAAAAGCGACATCAATCTGCAAAGTCTTGATAGCCCCCTTATCTGTCCACCCATCAAATAAATGTCGGGATTTCTCACACTGCGATGTAAATTTTCTCAATTTTAGGATTTTCCAACCAAGGCCACGAGTTATCCTACAAACGTTTTTTGGGTAGATAGAATCATTTACCTACTTCAACTTTCAACAACTTTCAAGAGCAGCAAGTCAAATTTCAGGAGAGGAATTTATAGTAAATCATTAGCCAAGGGACTGCCATGAGCGCTTCAAAAATTGCTCTATGGCCCAACTGCATGGAAAGTTTATCCAAACAGACATCACCCTATTCAACCACACAGTAGCATATTTTTATGCAGAAAAATACCCGGGACAAATTAGTTTGCAGAACTAATGTGGTTGTTTCCCTTCTATTGAGCAATGCGATGGAATAGTTTTCATCCTGATTTGAATTGTGAAATATTACTGCCACTTTAGTCTTTCAATTGCATTGTATTTGGTGTTGCTGAAATTGTGGTACATCTGGTACAGTGATGTTTGAGAGTGTGTGAATAATCAGAGGTGACTCGAGCTAAGCATGCAGGTGAAAGGGAAAGAAAATAGTGGGAGTGAAGGAAAGACAGCGAAGAAAAGTGGTTTGAAAGAAAGTTTGAAAAGTTAAAGCGACTTTGTCAAAAGCCAGATATAAACCAAAACCAGGGATGTTGTAACTAAACTATGTACAACGGATACGCTGTGCCCAGTTATGTATCGTTCTCGTTACTCATCGTAGTTATCGATATTGTTGATATCGCTTCAAGTTTATTGATTAGGTGTAACGTGTCTTAAATAATTCACATTCTTTATGCATGATTTGATTCAAATTTGTTCTCTCAGAAACACTGATTTTAAGAGTTGTTTTGGGATTTTGTTTGAAAAGAAAACATTTTCATATCCCTGTTTTATTAGCTCTAAAAATTGTTCAGTTATTAATAAATTCCGTGACTATTAATAATTAGATAACATTATACCAATCTACTAACCTATGAAGCTCACAGCATTGTTCTAAAGCTGGGAAATCGTCAATTTGATTGGCTTTTCTTTGGTTGACCACTTAACAATACATCAACAATTGGGCTTCTAGTCAACGAATTGTTGTACCAATAGAAATTAACTATGCTGACACTTTATTGGGGTTTTCATGGACATCAGTCACATAATTCCTTGCATTTTTTGTCTCCGTGTAAGCTTATTAGCTTGGATAACACAATTTTATAGTTTGCTTTTAGGTATTGGTGGTACCAAAATTTAATTTAAAGTAAAATTAATTTGAGTATTTGACATTTTTATTTTATGTAAACGATTATTGATTTGTTGTAAAAAAACGTCTCTATAAATCACTGACTCGTATAATTTGGAGAATATTGTTTGATAGACTTTAAAATTGAGACTTTGGTAAAACAATCGGCCTTGGAATCTAGTCGGTAAATCCATTGGCCCATTGTTGGTTGCACAAACTGTCGAGAGGGCAACCATTTTCAACAATGGCCCATCCATTGCAAGCAGAATAACACCCGAAATTGGCCCTCTGACTTTATGCTTCATGGCGTGCAACAATCCATTTTTTTCTTTAATCCCTTTGAGCTACTAAATTTTTGACCTTGACAACCAATTGATATAAGAACTATGATGGATATAAATACTAAAACCGAGTTAGATAATACGTTTGTCTCACTAGTTATACAGTAGGTAAAAGGTCAATAACTTTAACATTCTAATTATGTTAAACTTAATAAAATTTAAAGTTGTTTATCAAAATTAATATTTGATAATATTTTAATAATATGTCTAAATGATTTCTCTTGAATTTACAATCAAAGTCAATGCTGTAGTGAAAATTATAGTTATAGAGATGTACAAATTAACTTAATTAAAGTAACAGGATAAACCACGATACCTACTGATAATTTGTTTATTTCCCAAACAAGAATTATTCTCGAGTTTACATATTTGATTTGTATTTCTCATACTATTCTCTAAAGCTCTTATAATCTCAATGTATTCTGGTGTGACCAGTGGAGATTTAAAAATATTTTCTGTATAAAATACTTGTCTCTAATGCTATCACAAAAAAATGAGACAAACATGTATTATGACCAAGCGGCCATGGAGCCATGAAACAAGATTATCCATATAAGCCACATTTGTGTTTAGGTACATGGACCACAGAAATTACAGCTTTTGTTTAGTTTACAAATTGAAGCTATTCGTTTCTCTAAACCCAGAGACAAAACATCTTTTTGCTCGCTGTAATAATGTGCGATGATGACATGCAGTTTCTATTCAACGGTTGACGTTTCCATTTGCTTACGCCTCATTGAAATGCATTGCCAACTTGACTCCAGCGCTGAATGTTTTTAATTCATGCCTTTCAGTCAGGATTAACTAGATAGCTTTTTTCTAACAAAAAATATTTCAGATTGTTTTTCAATAGTTTATATATTTTTATTGAAGCAAATTGATGGCAAATAGTTCTCTAAGACATAGGTTTTATAAATTTGATAAGTTTAAAAAGTATAGTTTATAAATATTTGTTGCTATTCCAGTTCCAAATTATATCAGGGATTTACGTTGTTGTTGTGAGTTGTTGCAGGTAAGATGCTTGTGTCTCCCCATACATTTCACCACCTTGTGTGGCATCTTCAGGGTCCTTCTTATGAATTCATCTTCTTAGTGTAAGTGATAACAAGATGAATTCACAAAAATACCCCGGAAGATGCCATATAATTAGGAGAAATGCATGGTAACACAAACATCTTACCTACAAGAACTCAGGCAACAACAACAAAGATACAACTCCCAGTTAAGATCTCAGTACCTCAATTTTGATATATTCTGTGGCAAACAAACTATTGTAAACTTTTGGACTGTAAACATGAAGGAACAGATAAATGATACCGAAAACGGTAGGGTAGCTCAGTAATAGCATTTTTAGGATGATAAGGCACACATTCCTGGTTAAAGAGAGGCTGTATGTACTGTCGTATCAATGAGATCCCTCATGGCTTCATCATTTAATTTATACCTAAAAGTTCTTCCTCTGTCCTCAAACAACTGTACACACTAATAGGTTTATGGTGTAGGGAACTTGATTAAAATTTAAGAAACCAATAACTGATATTATCCAATCTTTTTGTTTAGCAGTTTGTGGGGTAGAAAGGGAACAGCGATGCATTTCTGAAATTTTTGAAAGTATGGTTTTCACAACCTCATTGTTACCACCTAAAGACGAACCCTAAAGCACCATACTGAAGGTTTTACTACTGGTTTGATTTGATAAGATTGTATTCGTAGATTAGCCACAGAATGTAAACGTATGAGTTTACCTTGACTTGCGTTGGGTGAGGTGGGACGCAGGCTAGCCATGCTAGGCTGTCGGCTGGGTGCGCGAACGCTGCCTCGGCTGCCCCGTCTCTGCTCATTCGGGTGTTTGTTGTCCCGGAGCAGAGAAACGTTCATCAGCCGAGGGTTCGGGGTGTTGAAGATTGTTCGGTTCTCCCTCCAGCGAGCCCTGAAACAAAAAATATTTAGCAAATTGAAACTTGAAATAATTTTATTCTTGAAAGATTAAGACATTTTTTTGTCAAGATTAATCAAAAAGGTTCAAAATATTTATAGTCTGTATGATTTAATCTGTCTCCTGACATTTCTTAGATTCAAGGAGGGGAGACTACAGGGGCTATAGCCCCTCCATTGGACCCTGGGAAATTAAATTTAAATATATACTTTGTCCTAAAAACGTAACAAAGGTTTTTACAGACAGTTCTAGATGTTAAAATTTGCTTTAAAAAGTCACCAAATGGCTTTAAAAAATATAAAACTTTCTGTCGAAGAACCTACAGATCCCCCTAATTTCTTACGGTGACTGGAAGCCTCCCTCCCTTTGGCAACTTGAAAGGGTCCTAGAGTTGCCACTGCTGGGGTTGGTGCTGGCCTTAAACCATTGGCCAATCCACGGAGGGTAGAAGGCAGGCTGCATCATACAGACTGTATGGATTTAAAGTTGGCAAAGATGTGACCAAAAAGTGATGTCTCATTTTGTGAAGTCGTACTTTGTGTAACTCAAGTCTTTGCTGTTTTGATTCATCCGTGTGATTAGTTTTTGCTATTGTATCTGTGATTCCACTATTACACAAACACAATACTCTTTTGTGTTTGCCTAGTACATTGGAGTTTGTGTACTAATCTGGTAATTTATGTGTAACATCTCATCTAAGCACAGGATCAGACAAATCTTATAAAATTGTGAAACTTGTAATTTCATTATGAAAGAAAGTTTTTACTTTTTTAAATAACATTTATTCACAATCACCAACAACAATCTTCAAACTACATAGTAAACCAATTAAAGTTGAGCCTACCACAGAAATATTACAAACCAAATACAGTTAACTAATACATCTCGATCCTAATTTGGTTTGAAAATTTAATCTGTTGAAAAATCCAATTTCAGATGTAGATTTAGTGGTTACGCAAAACTTGCTAGGTTGGTACTCCTTTCTTTTCAGTATTGTTTCTGAAAAAAAATTATTTTAGAAATATGAGCAGAGGAGTTCAAAGATAGTCTGCCGTTTCCCGAGAGAAAAGGTTTATGCATTTCAATACCTTCCAACTTAACGTGTATCAAGGTTAGGTTTTGAGTAACCAAAGTATAAAGGATCTGTCAAGACCTATAAGGTTGTGTCGAGAATGGGTGTTTAAGTAAAAGGGACATAATTCACAAAAGGACAGAGAGAAGCCTAGATGAAAAGGATTTAGATGGACAAACAACAATACAACAAAGGTACTGTCTAATACTTTTGTAAATATTTTACAATCTTTCTTTGTGAAATCCAAAGAGATGTATCAGTTAAAACCGTTGATACTTCTTTAAAAATAATAGTTTATGGAAACTTACTTCTGTACCTATAACAAAACAATATTCTTATTTATTTTCAAACTGAACAGACTTGAAACCCTTAATAATATTCAATTATAGATGAAAATCTCCTTAGGTATGCCTGAAGGTGTCAAATGATGCTGTACATGTTTCGAACTTATTACAGCTGTTTGTTCGGCAGCATTCATATATTATTATATCCAACAAACATTGCTCAATGTAATAATTATAAATATATTAATGATGCTGTGGACAAGCTGTAATAAGCGCGAAACATGTACAACATGTGATATAACTACTTTTGACAACTTTCAGGCATACGTAAGTAGATTTTATTCAATGTAATAAGCTGCAATCATAAACACCTTTGAATAACTGCTAAAATCAACAACGAAACTTAAAATAAATGCACAGTTACCCTTAGAAACACTTCATACACATAACTTTTGTATCAAGTTACATAACCAAAATACAGAAACACAAAGTACATCACGTGCAGCTAAAGTTTATCTGAATTTGTGCAGATTGTAATTGTTGTCTTGGAGCAAGTAAGGGACAACTGTTTGTGTTGAACAAACAGCCAACTAACTGGGGTTGGTGTCTATTGTCTAGTGTTAGTTTCAAACTGCAAGGTACTGGCTGAATAAACTGTTCACCCTCCTCTGCTAAGTACAAGATTTATACTTTACAGGGTGTTACACAACCCTTTAGATAATAGACTTTTGTCAATTTTTTAAAGAATACATTTGCGTCAGAATACATACAATAGTGTTGTTAGGTAAAAAAAATCATTAATCGAGTACACTGGTTAATTTACGAGCCAGTCCTAACGTTCCTATTTTAGTTTTTCCTGATACGTTTTTCATTGGCAGTGGGAGAGAATTAAAAATTTTGAGACCAAAATACGATGGTTTCATACACTGAATTGTGTGGTGTGGTGGATGGGAAAGGTGTAGTCTCTACCTCTAGGAAATCCTAATTCCTAGGAAGATTCAGGCTTGTGTACATTACTAGTTCATGTATGTAAAGTGCTGAAACGGTTCAAATCTTGAGACATTTTAACCTTCTCAACAAATTTCCGTGGGACAAAGGCCAGAAAGTACCCAGACAGCCTACTTCTGAGCCACCAAGATTTTATTTAGGTTTCATAAGTGCTCTCAAAACAAATCAGCCCGCACCTTATGTCTGATTCCACCATAGCATAGTACGCTGCCTTGGCAGATTCTATTCCTCACAAGTCATCCTCTTTACTGTATATCTTCAGAGAGAGCTTCCTGGTTAGTTCATGTTAAAATTGATCAAATATATTCGAGTAGGAAGAATATTTTTAGGTGTTTTGTGTTTGCACATGGGCTTCAATAGTAGTTTACGCAACGATTGCGTTAAGTGAGTCTTTACGACACGAGTAGAAAATTTAAGGCACGAGCCTTGGCGAGTGCCTTAAAAACTTCTACGAGTGTCGTAAAGACTATTAACGCGAGTTGCGTACACTACTTTACCTACGACCGTTTTTTAATTACTATCAATCTGGATTTAATTACTAACAATCACTAATGATAACTTTTTAGAGAGGTTATGTTTTCGTGTATTGTCATTGCCACTGAAAGTGATGCAACGACTTGTTGTATAATCAGCTGATTTCCTGTAATTACGTGTTTGTTAAACTTCGTTAAATATTACATTGCTAGCAGCATTCTTACCCTAAATAATATTGTATCAGGTACAATTCGGCAAATATTTTATTTATTTTTGGACTTCCACCAACTTAATTAAGAATACGCGGGTATCAACATGAACAAGTCGGATCAACAATTAAATTGGTCAACTGATCAGCTGATCAGCTGATTAGTTGACGTTCGAAGCATTACAATTTTAATTCTTTTCTCTCAATACTTGAACCTCATTGGTCCGTTACCTGTGTGGATATGAGAAAACTATGCGGATATGAAATGAAACTATGCGGATATGAAAGTAAACAGCTGTAAAGTGAAACTTTTCAATTCTAAGAACTGGACTGAAATGGCTACTTTAAAAAACGGTCGTAGGTAAAATAATTTTTCACTCTAGAACTTTGCATATTTAATACTTGAAATCAGGTTTTTGTTTGAGGAAAAGATGGAATTTTGTTCCTTTATTTTGAATTAGTTTGGAAGGTTGAACATATTGTGTGAGTTTGAGTGATCAACCCCAAAATCCTCTTTGAAAACTGTAGACAATTATATTAATTTCAATTTGTTGTGTAATTTCAATTAAACCAACTTTAAGCAATTATGTTGAGTACTTATATTTTGGTAAAACGTGTTGTGTTAAATAAAAGTCACAGGAATTAATTATACTACCATATAGTTCTATTTTATAAGGAAGAAAGCTGTCTAGTAGTAGAGCACAGGGCTTCGTAACCTAATGTACGGGGTTCAAATCCTACCAATCACCAACGGATTCTACATATAATAATATGGTGACCCTCTAGGACTGGTCTGAAAAAATGTGTGAAGTTTAGGGCTAAAACCTAGTGTCTTAGGATGAGAAGGTGTAAAATGTGTTTCAATTTTATTTGATCAGTTGAGCTGGTTAAGAATGTTTTTTGAAAATGAGTTTATTCCCTTTCAAAAAATTTGTAACTGTTGTTGAATCGATTTATGTAGATTTTTGGTTTCATTAAACACAAGTATATTCGTTTAATAAGCATTACAACAAACTTAAAACACAAATAATTGATTGATTCTTTTACAAAATTACAATGACCAATCCTTTGTATTACAAATTAAATGAAGTACCATAGTACTTTGTATCTCCATAACCACCTTGGGACTACCATAAAATTGTTTAAGGAGACTTTGTTGACTTAACTTTTAAGACAAAGTATTTTAACACGTAAACAAACCAAGTCCATTTACTCGCTTTGAAATAAGTAATACAGTAAGTTAATTGTAAATTCCATTATTAATCCGACAAAGAGAAACCCATTAAACATGTTTATGAACACTTGAAGTTGAAATAAACATTTTTCACAGAATTCCAGAGACATCAAAACTTTTGCCTAACTACCAAAGTTGTTTCAACTCCATAACAATGTTTAGAAGCCCCTGAACTGTTGAATGCTTTGTTAGTTGTTTGAAAGTGGCAGGGAAATATTTTAGAGATGAGAAATTTACTATAGGACAGACGGGTTTTATAATCGTTGAAGTAAAATAAGTAGTCAATGAAGTGTGTGTTTTACTTTAGACAGCTTTAAGCTTAGCTAACACTTAGCTCTTGGTACTATCAACTTTCTCATTGTTTCCCAACCTATGGTACAGAGGTGGTACATGAGACTGGTGGTAGGGGGTGAAGTTTTAAGTTACCGGTAAAGTATAGTAAAAAACATCAGGATTGTTTGCGCTGGTAATTCAGCTCGTCAGCAACTGTATACAGTCAAGAATAGGTTAGAAAGATGATGATTTGTTTGTTAGCAGCTCTTAGTCTTACGCTCGGTACTCAACTCATTTACTGAGGTATTCATAAATTGTGAAAATAAAATATTCTAGGGAAATGTGCATAATTACTTTTGCAAGCTAAGCTAGGTAGGTTTGCGAAATATAAATAA